CATTCACACCAGCGGCCTGCTGGAGGTAATTTTGTAGGGCTCTGGCAGTGCTCATCCTGTTCCTCCTTCCACAAAGCAGCAGATACCGGTCCTGCTGATGGGTTAAGGACCTTCTCTAGCCCTGTCTAGATCTCCTAGAGTAACTGCCTGTCTCCTGGAATCTCCTCTATGCTCTTGAGACTGCGCTGGGAGACACAGCAAACCTTCTGGCAATGGCATGTATTGATGTACCATTCTGGAGGAGTTTGACTGCCTGTGCAACCTCTGTAGGGTCCACGTATCGCCTCATGCTACCAGTAGTGACACTGACCCTAGCCAAATGCAAAACTAGTGAAAAACAGTCAGAAAAGATGAGTAGGTAAAAAAATGTCAGTGGCCTCCACCTGTAAAACTGTTCCTGTTTTGGGGGTCATCTCATTGTTGCCAATCTAGTGCACCTCCTGTTAATTTCATTAACACCAAAGCAACTGAAACTGATTAACAACCTCCTCTGCTACTTAGCAGACCAGATCAATATCCCAGGAGTTTGATTGACTTGATGCTATATTTTGATTAAAAAGCGTTCCTTTAATTTTTTTGAGTGGTGTATTATTATTATACAGGATTTATATAGCACCACCAGTTTGCACAGCGCTGTACAATATACAGGCAGACAGCACAGTTATAATACAATAAAATACAAGAGGTTTAAGAAGGCCCTGCTCATAAGAGCGTACAATCTAATCGTGATGGGTAATAGGTACAAAAGCAAATGTGTGAGGGATGAGCTGATGGAAGAATTAAAAGTTCAGCTGTTAGGTGGAGGCAGGATAGGCTTCCCAGGAGAGAGGAATTTTCAGGCATTGCATAAAAGGTGGACAGAGTAGGACATAGAAAGATAGACTGAGGTAGAGAGTTCCAGAGGATGAGAGAGGCTTTGGAGAGGTCCTGGAGATGAGCATGGGAGGAGAGGAGATGAGATCTAGAGAGCAGGAGGTCTTGAAAGGAGTGGAGAGGACAGTTTGGGTGACATTTTGAGACAAGATTGGTAATGTAGCTTAAGAAGTCAGCAGGTAGCATACAGTATCCTGGAGCAATTAGGCATAAACATATAATTACTGTATATGTATAATGTACGTTGCAACACAGTGTAGTAGTCAGGTGTATGTAAAAGCTGTGCTGTATGTACATTGCCTATTCAGCATCACCAGATTATGTAGGCTGGGCTGTATATTTTGTGTTTCACACAGCCCCATACTGAATACTGGACTATAAATTCCAGCTTCTGCTCCATCTCGCTCCTTGTTATACATATCCTATTGCACACTATCTCATTCTGTACATACCATATTCAACACTACCAGATGTGTAGGCTGGACTGTACAATACCTTTTCCACCCCATTCTGTATACTCTTCTGTATATTCCCTATCCCACATAACCATGTTCTGTACCTGTTTCTTACCATGATGTCCTATTCTGTACAGTGCTTGTTGTGTCTGCATAGGCCTGTGTGTAGCCTGGGCTTTCTGTGAAAGGATGAGTTAGTATTTTCTCACAGGCTATAGGTTCCCAGTCATCTCATGGTCTTTGGTTAGTCCAGCAAATATGTCCACTCCAGGCAGGCTTCTCTCCCATGGCTAAATGTGGGAGATCTCCTGCCTTATGCAAATACTAGGGCTAAACTAAAGCTGGCTATGCTCTCGTAGAGTTATAAAGGAACTTTCATAAAAACAATTGTACCAAAATTCTCATCAGGACATTTAATGACTCAACGAACGTTGTCTTTTAGTCCTCCAAAATTTTGGCTTGCTTTTAATATTCGATTTTGAAATGAATGTAATATCCCAAATGAATGCCACTTCTACTCTTAGAGATTTGTTTGGAAAAAAAAATTCTATCCTGTTCCTTTAAATTTTCTCATCACTGTGGTTAAAAATGAACATTGATTTGACACCTCTAACCATTTGAAAGTCAAATGAATATTCTTGAAACAAACGTTTTCCAACTAAGTTTTTCCGGTATATGACCAGCTATAGATAAAGGATGGCGGTTAATTCGAAGGTAAATTTTGACATTAACATGCACAGTCATTGCACTCAGTTGAATGTGCATTGAGGAGACACCATGCCGGTACAACTGAGACAGATCCATGCTGATCAATTCTTCAGTCAGCCTGGAGATGTCTGCTGAGGTCACAGATTGTCCATAGAAATATGATTACCTTTAAGTCTGACCATAATGGGCAGGATCAATGACTGTCTCGTCTGCTGCTACTCAAATTTGATGATGATGACGTAAAGACCAATGTAAAATATAGAGGTTCTTGGAAACTGCAAAACATAATGAGTAGACTGGTTGGAAATCCGGTCCTGTGGACTTGATTATACACAAAATCTCCATAGCCAACTATTCGTAAAACTTGGATGTGTGTAGTAGAAGAGGGAAGATTAATGAGTGCCAAATTTAAAAAGATAAAACTGAACCATAGGAAAAGAGCACAGAGTAGTATGTATAAATATAGGCCGGGAAAAAAGTAAATGACAATGTCCCTTTTAAAGTTCTGATTGTTCCGTCAGACTTATCGTGCACAGAGAATGAAGTCTCCACATTCAAGGAAACGGAGACACTTTAACAAAACATTAATTATGTGTGGATTAGTTACATTTAGAACTTGTCCAGCATCTTGAAGGGTGCCACAAAGTTAAATAAATCCAGCTATGTTTAAAGACAGACGTGTCACCAGTTTGAAGGATGGAGCTGGAAGTTGTACATTTCCTGAACTAATTTAGCCTCTTATGTACTTATGAGCCATTGCACTCCAGCGCCTGGGTTCTGCTGGTGACAACTGAATTTGTACTTCCAGAGCACAGATATCAGCCTGTACCTGCCAAGTACAAACATAACCGTGCTCATTTCCAGAGTCTTACATAACCTTGTATATAGTTATTATGGGAGTTCGGCTGTTTGCCTCTGCCTTCTACACTGTGTGGTCGGAAAGGACTTGAAGCTAAATCTAGAGGTAGCAAACACCCTCTAAACTAGACAGAAAACTACACAGTGTGTATAACGAAACTAAAGTAAGAATAATTTTTCAGGCTGTGAGCTGCCCGTCATGATATCATGAAGTAGTTTGTGTCTCTGAAATGTTTAATAAAGACTGTTTGACAAGGGTGTGTAGCAGAATCCTAACACTATGCGTGTGACAGAGAAATCTCTAGTGTATTAGTAAGATGTTCCAGTGTCATCTCAGGGTGCTTCCAAATAACATGACATGTTCCCAGAGGCAATATTCTGATGTAATATCGTCAGTAAGATGAGATGGTGTTTTTGTACATATTCATTATGTGTCATACAGTATATGTTAAAGCTTGCTATATATGCCACAGGTTTGTTAGATCAACCAGTGGGCTGAATGAAAGAAAACAGAACAGATTCCCTTATTCACACAAGCAAGGTGGATGGAGGAATCCTTCCCACTGTGTTACTGTATTCTGACTGCGAGCAATCCTCCACTGCAGTGCTGAACACACACACAAGAACAGCCATAGATGGATCAAAATGTGTCCTGTCCCTGCTGAAACAGCTGAAATGAGACCCATCAATGGCCAGATTAAGCGTGCTACCTGTTGACAAAGCTCAGACATGAAAGAAACCAGGATGAAGACTACTGTGAGGTTTATTCTATCAGGCAGTGAACTATAGCTTGTCTCTGTATACTAGTAGCTAAACCCACAGTGTTTACAGCAATTAATTCTGTGTAAGCAAACCTTCCTTTTATACTACTGGAATTTTCAGAGAGAATGGAAAAGGATCCACCTTTTCCATTCCGGCATCAAAGTGTATGTCACCCTAAATATTTTTTTTTCTGTGTTTTAACAAATGTGTATCTTATAAATCATTTTCATGTAATTCTTTATACTTCTTCCATCTGAAGTATCTGGTTGACCATGCCAGTCATCTTTCGTTTTCTTTCTAAACTGACCCACACAAAACACAGAAGCAGATATGTATTGGTGTGGTCAGTTTGCATCCATTGGCTGGTTATTCAGAACTACAGGACACTGTGCAGACACACAGCATGCTTGTGTTTGGGTAGTTTGTACAGCCACCATGCCCGCCGACCAATCACAGCCTGTCTCTGACACACACCCTCTCCCAATCACAGCCTGCCTTTTGAACAGACCCCCTGCTCAAGTGCTGCCTGCAGCTTGCCTCAGGGTAAACAAACTATGTAATACAAGCACACTGTGTCTGCAGTGTCCTGTTACCTCCAACCCATGGATACATGACAAAGTTTTTAACCTTGTAAAATGGGTGAGAGATCATTGCTGAAACTGAGCAAAAGCAGGTTTGGTGCCTGTCTATAGCATTGTATGTTCCCCACTTATTCAACATTTAAATCAGTGTTTCTGCTTTTCGACATTTTCTAAATATAAGGATGAAGGCAGACAGTCTTTCTTTCACAAGGATATGTGGAAAAATTAGATATTCATTTAAACTGTTAGGCCTCGTTCGTATTGGTGTGCAGACACATGAGATATTCTGCATGTGTTCTGCAAGAGCACAAAGAAAACAACTGTTTTCTATGTGCCCTGTTCACACCACAACATTGGCATCGATTGCAGATTTTTTTTTCTGCTCAGGAATCTGCAGTGCGTATAAAACTCACTGAAACACGCATGGAAACCGATGCAAACTCATGTCTCTGCAAGTGAACAAGGCCTAAGAGTCCTGTTGAAAGTAGATCTCATGCAGGATGACTAATTACATAGCTATGAGAAAATTGTGTGCAAGAATACTCCCCATAATCTATAAGTCACTGAATGGCTTGATGCTTACCCAGTATGGCAAAGGGCAGCAACTGATATAAAACCTTTCATTCATCTTCAGTAAGCAGGAATCTCATTGTTTACTGTATGTTCTACGCTTTGTAAAAACTGCATGTGATCATTGAACAATCAAGCTTGCCTTAGAGACAGATATACATGATTAACATGACGGGTGTTTGTCTGGTTTCAGCTGCAACATTCATGGAACATTGGAAGAGGAGACAAATGCGACTGAACTATCGATGGGATCTGACAAGTTTTGAAGAAGAACAAGTGAGTGAGCGGGAAAGAAACCGTTTGTATTTAAAGGGTGTGAGCAGTTAGCTGTTTTCAGTGTTTTTAACCACCTGCCGACCGCTCACAGTACTGCAAGAGGGTGGCAAGTGCAGGCACAATCACGTATATGTATGTGATCGGCCGCCTTCTGGGTATGTGTGTAACCCCTGCTGCCCTGTGCGGTGATTGGACACCGCACGAGTTTGGCAGCTGATTTTAACCAATGATTGGGCTGAAGTCAGCTGATTGGCTGTGTCCAATCACACACAGAGTTTTATGTTTTACAAAACAACAAAGCAGGGAGAAAAAACAGCCATAAAGTAAAAGCAGCACATGTTACACACATTAAACATTGTTAGACAAACAACCCCTTGATTGCCTCTAAATGCTAATCCCTTTCCATCCAGTGCCATTAGTACAGTGACAGTGTACAGTATTAGCACTAACCATTGTATTAGTGTCACTATTGATGTCAGTTAGTGTACCTCCCAACCAGCATCAGCTAGTGCCAGATCGCCTTCCACACTATCACAATCCCACTCTAAGTCACTGATCACCACCAGTACCAGTATAGCGTCATAGCTGCGTAAATTCCACTATATATACCATAGTTTTGTAGACGCTATAAATTTTGCACCAACCAATTAATATACACTTATTTGGATTTTCTTTACCAAGGACATTTAGTAAAATACATTTTGGCATAAATTTATGAAGATTTGATTTTTTTTTTTTCTTCCTAAAACCCGGTGATGATCAAATACCACCAAAATAAAGTTCTGTTTGTGTGAAAAAAAATATATAAATTTCATTCGAGTACAGTGTTGCATGACCGTGCAATTGCCAGTTAACGTAGCACAGAACTGAATAGCAATAAATGCTCTGGTCATGAAGGGGGTAAGACCTTCCGGAGATCAAGTGGTTAAAGCATCTATGAGGAGTTGTAAATTACTCTTTATTTGATGCAGTCAAGCGCATCACTAGGATGTTGAAAGACCTGGGGCACCTGTGGGCGCCTAGAGAATTGGAAAAGGTGGTCCGCTATGCGCGCCATACAGAATTGAGGGTGTGGCCTAATTGCACGAATTATACTAGCGGCTTAAAGGAGCATTGTTTAATAAAACCTGGTTTTAGTCGCAGTATACACAAAACACACATGCCAAAGTCCTCATATCCTAAATCATGTTACACCCATATTTTTTTCAAAGGGTGGACTTATGTTTTGTTTGAGATGGATCAAAATTTGGCTGGTGCAGCAGGAAGCAGCAGTATTTCAATCCATTTATGGGCAGGCTGGTTGTTCCGAAGGTGATCTATCGATCTCCTTTGGTACAACTAGCCTGTCAGAATTTTTTGTATGATCATTGCTGCTGGGTGTAGCTAGCAGCAGGGATCTTTGTATTCTGACATTGGGGAAACCTCCCACTGTCAGAATACAATAGCGCAGTGGAAGGGATTCCCCCATCTTTCAAAGGAAAGAAAAATGCATAATCCCCAAAAATTTGGGATCGTCTTATACACGGGGTATACAGTGTGAACCTTTAGTTCGTTTGGGCCAAGCTGGCTCAAAAACGAATGTCCCTAATCTGTCAGCCCGCTGGATGTGCGGTAGTACTGTATGTACAGTAGCTTCGGCTACATACAGTATACCGTGCTGATCCAACCACGGCGAGCAAAGTATTCTGTTAATGAATACAAAGCCTGCTCGGATTGGCAAAGTTTGTGACATCAGCCCGCTTCTCCGACTCTTCGAGCAGGCTTTGTATTCATTAACAGAATACATTGCTTGCCATGGTTGGCTCAGCGCGGTATACTGTATGTAGCCGAAGCTTACCGTACATACAGTATTACTGCACATCCAGCGGGCTGACAGATTACCGTAGGGCTGTTAGTTTTGAGCCAGCTTGGCTCAGCGTGGTATACTGTATGTAGCCGAAGCTATCGTACAAACAGTATTACCGCACATCCAGCGGTCTGACAGATTAGTGGGTGTATATTTAATCAAATCTGATGTTTATTCAAATTTGATGTTTTTAAATGGTGTTGCCTCGGAAGGGGGAGTAGTCTTATACGGTGAGTATAGCCCAAAACCTATGTCAACTGGAAAATTAGGGGGCCGTCTTATACACCCAGTCACCTTATACGCCGGCAAATATGGTGTAAGGTCTGCATATAATTCTTTCTTTTTCTCTTCCTCACCAGCGGGTCTCCTTGCTTGGTAGTCAGGTTATACAAACACTAAATTATGTGTAAATAAGAATTCATACTTCTATCCCTCAAGCGTGTAGATGCAATGAAAAGACACCCAAGCACCAGCATAATCTATGGGAAACAATCGCAATTAACCATGAAAATCCAGCACAACTGACAGGTTTTGTCGTCCTCCTCCAAGTCCAATTTGCTTGTGATGGTCTTCTCATGTCTGTGTAATATCCATAGGCATTACAGTCACCAGTCATCTGATGTCTATGGGTCCACCTAGTAGAACTTGTCTTAAAAACAGTTTTATGGATCTTTTGTGCCTCTAGAGTTCCCTTCACCAGATCAACAATGCACCTTGGTGCCAACCCTTACATAACTAAATTTGTGTCTTAATGTTTAATATCTTCTTCATGTTTACTAGCTTCTTGTCATCTGAGTTAAGGTGGTGGTGTAATTTTTTTAAATGTTCTATGTAACACTGATGGTGTACATCAAAGGGTTTGTGTGACAGCAGTGCCCTGATGGATGTCAGTTGTGTTTCATTGTGGTGTTATATAACATGCTGGGTCTTCATCCTGTCACTGTTCTTGTCAACTAAATATGGAGCTTCTCTGAACAAGAGCACAGGTAGTTTAAGGTGCAACCAGACATGAAATGGGTTTCTGTACTTGGGGTGCAGTGGGGAAGGGTTCCTATACCAGTCAGATTGCTGCTGTTGTCCTGGCCCTTGGCCCTTCTATTATGACTGTACAAGATGAGCGTGGCATTTCAGCTGAGCTACCCTTCTCAGCTGTGCGTTTTCCATACTAATGGAAATGCCACAGAAGACACAGATGGTGTATCATTTGAACTGACCTGTGCTCCTCTGAGAACATCCACAATGCTTTTATTGCAGTCTGGTTTGAAACCTGCTGTGATAATGTATAGTAAATAGGTATTCTATAAAAGTGAAGGTTTTGCCCATACTACCTTATCAGATTCAATCTAGGCATAATTAAAACTTGCTCATTTCCCCCGTCTTGTCTCTTTAATCACTGCAAGTACAGACAAGTACCCACTGACCTCAGTGTGCTGTTAAAGTGCATCTACAGCCAAAACCTTTTACAATTTTGGATAGGGTGGAAAAGAGTTAGAACCCATCAGGTTTTACAGCTAACTGGGGTACCAGTAGAGAGATTTTCATCACTTTCTGTTTTGGGGAGTGTTGGACAGTTTCCTTCACTTTCTGTCTGGAGAAAAAGTTGTTCCTGAGACAGGAAGTGAGGAGAAGCTTATCTAATGAAGTTCCAGACAGCAGTGAAACCTGACAGAAGTTCTCATCCCTTCCCACTCATGAACAAGCACTCGACTTCATTTCCCATCCACAAATACCCAGTCTGCTCTCTTTCACTCCGTCAGAACGCTGAGCTTTGATAGAGACTGCACATGCAATTGTAAGGAACAAAGCTAAGGGCTAATTTGTGAGTTTTAAAAGCTGGGCACCAATGCTTGGTACATACTGTCATCTGCAGGATGGCGGGGGGAGGGCAGTGAAATGAGCAGCTGAAACGGTAAGCATTCTTTTTACAAAAAGGAGCACTGCATGTTTAAACAGAATTGCAGGTATGTAGTTCAGTTGGTCCAGCCTTGACCAATGTAACAATGCATATGCCATATCCGTGGGATCCCTCTAGAATTTGGAAATCACTGTAGTAAATTCAGTTACTCCAGCGATCTCCACTAGCTTCTGCTTCCCGCACTGAGCAGCTGCCCTTCTGAATTCTGAATGCAGGAGGACTGCCGCTTGCCATGGGAGCCATTCAGAGAATGCTTTGCATTTTCCAAATGAATGCAAAGCAATCTCGGATTGGAGACAGTGGAGAGCATGATGTAACACTCAAGCCTTTCCACCTTGTCCAATCAGGAAAAAAATTGCATTAATTGAGAAAATGCAAATAGTTCTCTGAATAGCACCTGTTGTTGAGTCACCAACTTCCTATATACACAATGCAGCAGAGCAGCCTCTCAGCACAGGACTTGTAAGCAAGTGAAGATCACTAGAATAGCGGTGTCTACTACAGTGATTTCCAGCTTCTACAGCAGTGGTGGCAGACCTATGGCATGCGTGCCACAGCGGGCATGCAGAACCCTCTGTTGCTCATGCTCGGAAAGGAGTAGTGGCGCCAGGCGATGACGTCATGAGCCGCGACTCATTAGCCGTGACTCATCCAAGCTTTCACATGGCTGGTTAGTGCACTGCTGCATGGCTGGTTTGCCATCACTCTTCTAGAGGGATCCCTCAAGTATGATATATGCAGAGTTACATTGGTCCAAGCTGGAGCAATATAACTTTGAATAAAATGCAATACCTAGAATTCTTTAATCTACTGAGGATGTAATGTGTAGGGATGCTTTTGACTAAAGTCAGTAAAGGTGAACTAACCCTTTAAACCCAATTGGTAAAATAATACAAGCTTTAGCTTATTAATATACTTTCATCATTCTTTTAAAATATACAGCTTTTGAGAAAAGAATACTTGATGATCTTGCCATATAGGGCCTTGTTGAGGCATTTCCTCTTATGGAGTGACAACTGTTTCCCACTGAGCACCTTTGTTTTCACCCTGACATATCTGCCTCTGACAGAAACTACATGCAGACCTGTATCATGCAGTCATGAATAAATCCATAACCCAGCAGCAACCTCTTATCACTGGGTCTGGAGTCCTCGGTACAATTCACTATTAAACTCATAAACCTCTCTATTATGGGTACTACTATGATTATAATATTTGCAAACTCAAAAAAGAGGAAAACCACCACCATTTCCTCCTTTTTTTTTTTTTGAGTTTCTGAATATTATACTTTGGGAAAACACCACTACAGTAGTCCACAAACAAGGAGGTTAATTTGTGCTGGCATGGTCCACCATTGTCACGATCAGTAAACTTCCAGATAATATGCAGCTGGTGCTGGAGTTATTGTATGTCTGCAGGAAGTGTCTGAAAGAGGCTATGAAAGATTGGCAATGCATTGGAACTGAGTTTGGTAATGCTGCTAGTTTGAATGGACATTAAATATGACCCAATTCAGATCTAGTTTTAAACGGCCTTCTTTTCCAAAACAGGTGTGAAAATGTAAAGTGAAATCTGAAATATTATGGGCATCACTTCCAGTTTTTTAGAGCACCTCTAAAAAAAAAAAAAATGTATTCTATCCTCTGAATCAAATCCATGTCCTCATTTGTGTTAGCATGAATACCCAAGACTCTAATCTTAACATTACCTGGGACCCAAAATAATGATTGTCTTTTTTTTTTTTTCCTTTTTTGTGTGTGTGTGCGTGTGCTGTTTTCTTGTTTCCTGAAGGGCATGGTCAAGGTTTGAAAACTTATTTATTAATATTATTTTCTATCTTCCTCCTCAAGCAAGTTTACTTTGCACCCTTCTTTGAATCACACAAATCTCTCTACGTCCAGCAAAGGACTAATGTCTGTGTTGCCTATTGCACCCTTTCTGTTTCGGCAGTGCACCAAGCCAATGACTATGTTGCACGTTGTTTTGTTTCTGGAAATATTCTTAATTTTGTGTCTGGTATTCCTTGTTGCATTGTGCCTGTGTCCATCACAAATCATTGTATATGTTTCACAGCATTGTATGTCAGCAAGTGCTAATTGCGCTGTGCCACTTTGTGATGATCTGCTGCCTGCACCAACTGAGCCTTGAGATCTCTGCTGTTTATCCGCCTTGTCAAGATGTGTGTGTTATCTGAACATGTCTTCATCCAGCATTCTCTCCCACAGGACCATCCCAGGGCAGAATATGAGGCTAAGGTCCTTCAGAAGTCCCTCAAAAAGGAGTACAGACACAAAGAGGTAATAACCAGTTAGGTTTAAAGAAAAGTCATTGTCAATAGTTGTATCATAACTGCCCTAAATGCAAGTGTTCTCTCCATTATGGGGCCAGGCTACTTCTTTGCGAAGGACATTTTATGTTGACAGTACTATTGAGAATGTACTGTATGTAAAATGTTTTTTCATGGAGTAATCCTGGCAGCTAGGATATGCTTACATATGTTTGTGCTATCAGGCAGCATTTTTTTTTCTTTATTAAGGGTCATCAAGTTTTATTATCCTGGGTATCCACTGCATAGGTGTTTGTCCAGCACAGTATGGAGAAACACAATATGACCAAAAGCTTGTGGACCTCCAACCATCACACCTATATTGAGCTTGATGGACATCCTATTCTAAAACCATAGAGGCGGCTCTCATTGTGACTACAGCAGCCTCTACACAGCTGGGAAGACTTTTAATATGTCTATAATATTTTGGAGTGTGTCTGTGGGAATTTGTACCCATTCATCAGGTCAGGTACTAATGTTGGAAGAGAAGCATTCCAGTATATCTCAAAGTACTCAGTAGGTTTGAGGTCAGGGATCTGTGCAAGCCTCTCAAGTTCCTCCACACAAAACCCCTCAAACCATGTCTTTATGGAACTGGCTTTGTGCATTGGGGTACAGTCATGCTAGAACAGAAAAGGGCCTTCCCCAAACTTGTGTGACAAGGCTGGAAGTGCACAATTGACTAAAATGTATTTTGTATCTTGGAGCATTGACAAAGTCTCTGGAAAAATCTAAACTCAGTAATTTGAAGGGGTGTCCACATATTTTGGCAATATTGCATAGGTGCTGTATATCCACCTGGATGTTCTTGCTGCCTTTGCTGCTCTATACATGATTGGTATATCTGAAAGCCTAGAGCAACCATTCTACAGAAAGTTTTGATGCAGTTTTGACATGAAGTCCATGACATATTTCTCTTTATTCCACCAATGATGGCAAAATTGCCTATTGTATGAAACCATAGTAGGAGTAGATTACTGCTATGACCAGGTTAATGCCATATCCATATTTTACATTTGAAGTGGTTCTAAAGGCAGAAAGTTTATCCATAAAGGTAAAAAACCACCTGCATGCAGCTCCCTCCCCAGCCCCAATCTCAATCCTATAATATGCAGGAAAGCAACCACTCTCTTGGCTCTTCTCTCCTCATTGGACAGAGGCAGCATTGGCTGCTGCTACTGTCAATCACACCAGTGATGAGAGAGCGGGGGCATGGCCTGGCCATGCTCCTGTGTGTTAATGGACGCCCAGAGCCGACTTGGGAGCGAGTATGCACGAGTGCCCCCACAGCAAGCAGCCAGAAGTGCCGGCAGAAGGTTCTGAGAAGGAGGATCTGGGCTGCAGTGTGCACAACCATTACACAAAGCAGGTAAGTATGACATGTTTGCTATTTTTAAAGAATAACATTTTTGCCTTTAGAATCACTTTGAGTGCTTTTACCTGCTTCTAGTGTTTATATAACCAGAATCTTGAGATGTGGTACACAAAGAACATATGTGTACTTTCTACTGTTGTTTAGTGAACTTCTATTCTATGCCTCAGATGCGTCTCTGGTCTATTCAGCTTCTTTTCCTGTGTACATTAGAAGCATGTTACTAACATTCACTTAAATGCAGGAGATCTACAATGCCAACTGATAATCAGATTTCAATGTGAATGTAATGTAGACATTTTCAATGGTTGTAGTGCTTGGTATACAGGTAACAAAAAAAAAAGAAAATTATCTCTTTTATGTCTTCTATCAGCAGCTGCTTTTACTGCTTATTGTATGTGTGACAAACATGGAATGAGTATGTGTCACTGCCTCTTCCTCGGTCACTGGTATATCTATATGAGGCACTGAATCTGTATCAGTGTCTCTGATAGCAAAACCTCATTATAACCTGAATTGTGCACTGGAGGCATGAGCCACTGAGCGCCAGTATCACGCAAATAAAATTGGCCAATGAACACTTGCCCATCAGTATCTCTATGTGAACAATACAGTGAGCTGACAGGACAAATAGAAGGGATTTTTTTACAGTAATTTAAAAGAGGAATCCTAATCTTTCAAAAGTATATTTGTAAATGTAATCAAACTAATATGAACTTCAATGTGTGTGAATGATTCATTGAAAAGTCTACAACTTCGTTTTCACATTTTATATAGATTAGTCACCTTTTCTAGTAAAAAAAAAAAAAAAAAAACATCCATTGTCAGTTTGTGGGCTAAGTGGAAGAATTATCCCTGCCCTGCCAGCATGAATGCTTATTTTCCTCACTACTGCTGGCTTCCTCTGTGCAGTATGACTGGTCCCCTGAAGCTGCTTCCCTTCATCACTCTACCACTCGCAGACCTTCTGACATCATCCCATACAATGCAGGACCAGCAGTCTTACATTGTATGTGAGGACAAGGGCCTGCCAACATCCCTGTAGGAGAGAAATGGCTGACAGAGGAGCGAGAAATTCCATATAGCTGCTTATTCCTTTTCCCTAGCAGGTGGGAACCCTTGTCTTTTTTTTTTTTTTTTTTAGCCATGTGCAACCCATTGGGGAGATTTTCATTCACTTCCTGTCCTGTAGACACCGAGAAGTAAATATGTAAACACTCCACAGCGCAAACATATATAATATATATATATATATATATATATATATATATATATATATATATATATATATATATATATATATATATATATATAAAACAAAAATCCAAAAAGTCCCAAAATTGTAAATGTGCTCCAATCCCAGAAACAGTGCTCAAAATAATCTTCCAAAGTGCTCTCACCATCCGTGACTGACATTCCAATCACCACTCACCAGATGGAGTGGACTCTTTGCTGGTATGGCTAAACAGTCAAACAAGCTAGAAAGATCGAGTGCATCCTCCCCAGATATATCTGTACTTGATATTCTCCAAAAGCGATCCCCACCACATATGGATGGCACAAAGTTACCTAGAAAACCCCAGAAATGCTACCCCACTGACAAGTCCACTGTCCCTGGAATCATGTGAAAGCATATACTAGGAAGCCCCTGCTACTAGCAAGAACGCCTGAGGGAAAAACAACAAACCATTTGGATGTTCCTGCTAGGTCAGAAGAAACACCATTACTAAGGACATAAGTGACTGGTCTCACAGTTTCACTTTCAGACTAGGTTCACACTAATGCGGTGCAGTACATCGCATGTGATTCGCACAGGAACCGCACCGCATTCCTATGCAAATCTCATGCGAATTGTGTGCTGTGGGATTTGAGCCATATATTATGTATGGCTCAAATTGCACCGCATCTGCACCAAAAAGGTGCAGGACCCTTTTTTGGGTCCACACTAGAATCGGATCGAATGAGTATTCACACCTATGCCATCCGATTCTGCACATCGCACCACGTTTGGCAGACCGATTTCGGGGTGTTGTTAACATACACATCCACAGCAGTTCGCATGAACTGGGTGCGATTCTGATGCGGTGCAGAATTCGCACATTGTGAATCCAGGCTCTATGATCATCAGAAACAGGACAAATAGAGAGGGTGAATCTCCCGAAAGGGAACACAGATGGCAATAAAACCCTGACAGGTGTTCTAATCTCTCTCCACTCCATCCAAAACTTTAAAAAAAGAAAAAAAAAAAGTTTTGGCTTTAGTTACACTTAAGATTTTGTCTTGAGTCCCCCTATCAGGAAAGCTCTTTGACATTGTAGATTTTCTTTGTAACATTGTAAACTTGATCCAATGATATGCTAGAAAAGATCCATTACTGGTATCCCTGACTTCACTGGGCCTACCCAGCCTGGATGTGAAGGGGCAGTGCACACATGCAACGTTGTTCATTCATTGTCACTGATCGAATAATGCTTTATAACACTATTGCATGGTCCTTTTTGTTTCCTCCAAATGCAATCAGAAGCATCAGCCTGTTCCTGAGGACAACACAAACAAATGGAGGCAGAGAGTTAAGACTGCCATGGCTGGAGTGAAATTGGTATCTTTTTTTTTTTTTTTTATACCCAATCTCCAGAAATGGTTTATCCAAGCGAAAGCTCAGTCACATTGTGGTTTATTTTGTTCAGCAAACTGAGGGGATTATAATGAGTGTGCAACTGAAAGAATGAAGCTTGACATTACCAGGCTGAAAGAAATCAGAATTAAGCCACCAGCCTGTCTTCTAGTAATATCTGAAATGATCCCCTCGGGCTGCTATATACTTTAACGTCACTATAGTTGTCTTTCCCATGTCACCACACTCCAGTCTCTGCATGGCACATGATCACTGTGAATGGCTGGGTTTTTCTGCACCTAGGCCTTATGCATGTTGCACCTTGTGTTAGAGAACTGCTTTACTGTTGTCTCAAGTTATTTTTTCTTATATATATTTGTAGAAAACCAAATATCCATCGTTAATTGCTCTTTGTTAAAGGATCAGTCCATTCACAGCTGGCATTTCAGTTTTTATAGATCTGGAAAGTCACTTCATCTTATGCTTTCCTAAAGTGTATGTCTGAGTAAAATTTTTAAAAAATATACAAAATATATTTTAAAAAAATCAGTGCATCTCTGCAATACATGCACAATTTCCCATGTTTGTAATATAACTGTTGACACAGAAATCTAGTGAGCTCCTAACTTCATGTTGGAGCTGAAAACACAGTTTTTGCCACCCCTTGACCGCTTCCCCTTTACCAGGAAAGGCAGCAGCTCGGCGTGTACACATGCCCCCTATCGTGTTTGTTGGGCACTTCCGCCTGCTGATTTTGATCAGTTCCAGTGAATGGAGCTGTGTTGCAACTCTCCCGCATCTGCATTCAATGCACACAGTTGCGGAACAATAGTCAGGCATTAAGGGGCTTAAAGCAAGCATGAAGAGGTGATACATGGCCACCTCATTGCCTGTCAAATGCTCTCTTAAGAACAACCCAAATGCAAATCGCTCTTCAAACAGCAAAGCTACTGTAAATGAAGCCTTACTGAGCTACAGAATACTTCCCATGATCCTTGTTTCTATAACCTATGATGGTGTTCTGTAGTTCAGAGGTGAACCAGGCAGGGCTGATAACCCTGCACTGAATTTCCTTGTAGCAGAGTGAACAGGAAGTTGAAAACTTGCTGGATTTTTGACCAGGATCAGCTAGTATTTTTCTATATTTGCAGAAAAGTATAAAACGTTTCTAAATGTGGATATATCAGAGATGGACTGAACATGTTTCTATTTTGCTGAGACATATCAAGTTGCTCAGAGAACTGCTGGTGAGAACGTTGTGCCCAGTTCCAGATCAGATGTATACCTGTTACAAGGGGGTTTCACTTTCTGATGGACTTTTCACTTTATGTGGCACAAAATGCAATAAGAGGAGTCTGATCTTCCTTATAGCTTGAGAAATGACACCAAGGTGGGTGGGAATAGAGCCAAGAATAGTGGAAACTACATATAACCGAAATGTCACTTTGTGTGGACTAGTCCTTTAAAAATATGCATTTTGTTAAGATATTAAGAATCTGAGCCTATAGTGGGCTCTAGTCAAACAGGTACAGCTAAAATGTTAAAATGCATGACCAGAGTGGTCATTTATTGTGAAATGAACTTTTATTATAATTAAATGTAACTGTTTGTCAGTAGACCTTTTTATTTATTTATTTTTGGTCCTCCAAGCTCTAAATTTAATTGATGAAAGTACAAATTAAGTCTGTCCAGTTTACATTAAAGGAAGGATACCAGCAATGTTAAATGCAACTGTATGGTCTTAAAGGATAAGTTTACCTTTTAGACAAAAATAATAAATGCATATTTTTTACAGGTAAAAAAATGTGCATTTATATTTTGTGTCTACAGGAGCCAGGAAAACATTGCCCCAGCAATCAGTAAATCGCTGATGCCATGCAGGTCTCCTGCAGACCTGTCTGAATGTCTGCTTGCTGTACGGGATGCACAAGCAAGCATATATTCTGACATGAAGCTTCAATGAACTACCATGGCGCTCCACAGCGGAAGTCCATGAATGAATGATGTGGTTGTGTGGGCGGAGTCCCGCATGGCTGCGCTGTTTTCAAATTTCACAGCTAGTACGGGGAGTCAGAGGGAGGGCAGGCGGCGGCTGCGGCTATGGGAACATGTTACATGTTCCAATCTAACAGGTGGAACATGTAACCTGCTCCCAAAGCTGAACTTATCCTTTTAATTCTTCATATTTAGTCTAAATGATAAAACGTTTAGCATAGTTGACAGAAGACCTCAGGAAGCCAAGAAAGATTTATTAATTGACATCATAAACCAGGTCCTGGACTATGGTGCAAAATTATTTTATAGTTACACCATTTCAAATATAACTAGTAAAAACAAAAGGTACACTTGGTGGGCCCCCAAAACTTACATCTACTGCATTGCATCCACTTACTGTGTTATTAGAAACCATATTTTCATTATGTGTATATTAAAATTATACACCGTACTGAAATAATGATATAGTGACTCTCAACCTCAAAGTCAATTAGGCCCATTCACCTATTACTCAAGGTGCTAAACTGGATTGTCTTCTTATGAAAATCCTTAGTCTTGTTACAAAGCAGGGTGTAATTAAAAATGGCAATCTATTATCCAATCCAATGCAACAGTGTTATACTGATGCATCAGATCCACATACCCATGACCCCTTTCTAAAGGATGCCATGAATAATTATAGCATGTACAATAGTGACCTACAAGTGTACAGAACCCAGGAGGCCAATATTGCAGGTAATCTTGCATGATGGAACATTTCTGACCATTATATTGTTATAGTATGGATGGGATAAAACCCCTGTCATTTTCACGTTTTTAATTTTCTGCTCTGTGTCCTACTGGGGTGGTATCCAATGCAACAGGTGAAATCTCTACAAATGATGCAAATTCCCCATTTAATCAGTTGTCAACAGAATAGAGGACAATTTGGATTTGTAGATTTAATTTTAGTTTAGACTAGATTTTCAATCACTGTCTTGGTGGTCACCAGTACAGACCGAGAAAATGAATCTACCTGGCAGAACCACAGACAGCAATAAAACATGACAGGAGTTCTAACCATTCCCCAATCCTGGAAAAAAAACAAATAGGTTGAACCATACATCACGCCAATGCACAGTGGGCACCAACCATACATCTAATGGAAGTACTAGGCTATTTGAGAAGCTTTAGGTACTAATGTGACTCGAAAAGAGAGGTTGAGGGAAGCTTTATGATCTACTCTATTCTGGTTTACAAAGGTATTGTATAGGGAAAAAAATGTATAACAAATTCCCAGCACCTTGGAGACATTCTTCTGAAGCAAAGCTGAATGAAAGCATGTAGGAATTTCTTCTACAAAGCACTGCCCCCTTTTTTTGTACATCAGTAAACAGTGTATGAATTCCAGACACTGACGTCTGTTTGGCTTTGGTTTCACTGTAGCTCCATCAGTCTTGTGTGTGTTTTCATGCTGTGATGTCATCCACCGCTATTACTCTATCTGCCATGAATCCGTTTTGACTCTGTTGCTCTTCTGGATTTTAGACAGAAAAGGAAAAGCTGACATGGAAGGACAGAACTCCCGCCTATTTCACAAACTTTGTTGGCATCATTTTTATGGTGAGTATGTAGCGCATCATTATTGCATAATCTAAATACAAATCCAACTGTGAAACTCTTTAAGAAGTCTTTGTTGGGTCTGAGAACAAATGAAAACTCCAGGTCCCTGCAACAGGAGAGCTGAGCTGGATATAGACAGTGTATTTTCATTTAACCAGGGATCAGGAAGGAATTTTTTCCCCTGCAGGAGCAAAATTGGATCATGCTTTTGCTATTTTTTGTTTGTTTTCCTCTGGATCAACTGCGGGTATAAGATTAGAACTTTTTTTTTGATGGTTAAACTAGATGGACTTTTGTCTCTTTTTCAGCCTGACTAACTATGTAACCAAAGGGCAGTAATGCCCAGTGCCCTCTTACTATAGAACTTCAGATGAATCTGTTTCTCTGCTCTGTCCTTTGTCCTGACACTATCCTGCATGAGAATATTGTTCAGTGTTGGCGATTAATGCAGAAAATTTGGAAAGTAAGTGATACCCATTATTGGCTAACTTTGGTATTATAGATACACGTTTTCAGGATCTCTTAGTTAGGCTTATGTGTTTAAAATCCAACAAAGGGCTCTAGGGCATCCTGAAAGCTTGCATCTTTACTAACTTACATTAGCCTGTAAAGGATATCCCGTAAACTCTGAACTTGATGCTGAAGTATGTAAGCGTAGCACTACCCCTATAGGGGTACTGGCATTAACTGGTTCGTCCCTAATAGTACAGAGGCTGCCCACCAAAGCAAGCACCAGTCCATTCACACCGGCTCCAATAACATTGTCTAGGGCAGGGGTAGGCAACCTCAAAGAGGCGAAGATCTACCTGATCAACATGGGAGAACTTAAAGATCACCAGGCACAGTGTTGCCTCCTCACACCTGTTTTAAATCTCTAATTGCTATACTACCATGTCACAATCGAATGCATTGCTCAGCAATCATGGATTTAAATCAGGTGATGAGGAGGCAACAAAATGCCTCCTCACCACCTGTCATTGCAGAGGAGCAGCAGTGCCTACTGCACCTGTGAATGAGACCTTAGTTGTAATTGGCAACTTGTTCACATGTAAAGTTGGGGGTGGTAAAACCCTGCGGTTGAATCACTATTTTGCCACCCCCAATCTCTACCCCCTTTTAGCTGCTGAGGCAGTAGCCAAAGGTGTACACATGCTGCAGCAAGAATTATACCCACTGTTGCTTTTGGCCGGTGCTACCGCCAGTCAACCGAGACCCATTTAAGTAAATGGGCCACTCTGCAAGTGCCCTGAAACTGAATGCTTCTGCAGGGTCCAACGGGTTAAAGCAGGTGATGAGAAAGCAACAACCACTGCCTGTTTAACCCCTTGTTTGCTGTACTGCACAAGGTTGCAGGGCAATTGTAGAGTAGCCTCATTCACTTGAATGGGTTATGCTTGGCAGGTGCTACACTCACCAACCATAACAGGGCATAGGAGCCAGCACTACAGAGGAGACATCAATTTATGCGGCTCTTGCTCCCTACTACAGCTCCAACTTTACAAGTAGTCCTTCTGTGTTGCACTCTGTTTGCTGCTCTGCAATTGTGTGTCAGCAAGCTCAGACAGAGATCTACCAATCACCTGGTCAAGATCTACTGGTATGTCACGATCTACTGGTTGCTGACCCCCATCTAGGGGATATCATTTTAAGATTTATTGCTTGAAGAAACTTTAAACAATAGAGGGGTTAGGGCAAAGGTAACTCCAAAATGATTAGCACATAGCAACCAGAGGACAATCTTCTTGAGTAAACATGAATGTTGTACAGTCTAAACCGCTACAGCTGAAGTTCATGAGGTAACTTTCTAAACAGGCTCACAGCTGGAGACCATGAAGAAAGTTTCTTTGGCATCTGGTTACCTTGCACCTATGCTCAACTACTGGTAGCCAATGCGATTTTCAGAACACCACACAATCACAGGGACCAATTTAGGGTCTTTACTCACTAGTCCCCTGGAGAGCTGCCAGCTTCCTCCAGACACTCCAATGAGTGAGACAGTCCTTCTCTAGACCTGATGCCTTGTGGAGGGATCTTGCAATAACTTCAAAGCAGATTCATCCATGCCCTCAGCCCTGACACTGCTGAGGCCTCTAGAACAGCTGCAAAGTCCATGGGCTACCTCAGGGCAGCAGCCCCTCAATGCTCTGGAACCCTCCTGTGGATAGAGAACCCAGCTCTCCCTCGCTAAGCTCTAGAGACTTCTTCCAGAAGCAGGGAGAAGCAATAAAACTCTCCCAGCCCTGAAACTCTGAGCAGACCAAGACAAACAATCACTGCTTTCTTGATTACAGAAGGGGCCAAAAAGTAAGTTTGACGCGCATCCTATGCTAGGGGGGTGCAACATAAGAACAATTACTCGAGACCCAAAAATAGCTGATGTTCATGGAATATTAGTCCCGATAAACATATTTTTGTACAGTAGCTTTTTAGTTAAATTATAAATATATGTACATTTTTATTAAGGAAAATTTATTTCATAGGTATATTTTTTTTCTCACTAGATCGGTTTGACCTTTGCTATTGTGTTTGGTGTCATTGTATATCGAGTCTCTACTGCAGCAGCATTAGCAATGAGCTCCAACCCATCTGCACGTGCTAATGTCCGGGTAACCGTTACAGCGACAGCGGTTATCATTAATCTGGTGGTGATTCTGGTACTGGATGAAGTGTATGGTTGTATAGCACGGTGGCTCACCCAGATTGGTATGTCATGTGCTTTGACTTTTTCAATTTATGGATTCCCATAGAACTGCCTGATTGGGCTGATTTAATTGCAATTTGTACTGCAAATGGTTGTAGACTTGATGATGAATAATATTAATTTGCTCAATTGTTGGCTTTTGCATTTACTTTGTACAGAGGTCCCAAAAACTGACAAGACTTTTGAAGAACGGCTGATATTTAAGGCTTTCCTGCTGAAGTTTGTCAATGCTTACACACCAATTTTTTATGTTGCCTTCTTCAAGGGTCGGTAAGTAGATGTTTGTGCAAGGAATGTTATACCATGAAGTAATAATTCTGTTACACATATAGCCAACTATCGTTCTTTGCTTTTTTTTTTTTCCCCCTTGTTCTGCCAGGATCCATCTAACTGTTCTTCCTTCACTGTAATGTACAGATGCAGGAAAAGAGGGATCTGTTCTCTCTGTAGAGAAAAGAAGCAGTGATGGGCAGAAGCTTTCCAATGTATCTGCAAATCTTCAAATCTGATTATTAAAATGTTTACAGTATACAATTGTGCCCACATTTTAACTCCTATGCTGTCCAAGTTATTCCAGGAGATGCTCAAATCTGGTGCATTACTTATATCAGCCTGTGTATGGGCACACAAATGTTATGCATTACACAACTGACTGCTACAGATAACCTTAGGATATCAGTGGGTGGTGTTCCTGTTGAATGAGTTGGAAAGTATTTGCTCAGAAATTGCTGTTACCCATTGGGCATGTTCAAATGTAAGGAGCCTACTGAAATCCCAAATCAGCCCTCAAATTAACCAAGTTTAATAGTAACTCACCTATACAGTGCCTTGAAAAGTATTCATACCCCTTGAAATTTTTCCACATTTTGCCATGTTACAACCAAAAATGTAAGTATATTTTGAGATTTTATGCGATAGACCAACACAAAGTGGCACATAATTGTGAAGTGGAAGGAAAATGATAAATGGTTTTCAAATTGTTTTTACAAATAAATATCTGAAAAGTGTGGCAGCATTTGTATTCACCCCCCTCTACTTACCCCTAATTAAAATCTAGTGGAGCCAATTGCCTTCAGAAGTTATCTAATTAGTAAATAGAGTCTACCTGTGTGTAATTTGATCTACGTATAAATACAGCTGTTTTGTGAAGCCCTCAGAGGCTTGTTAGAGAACTTTAGTGAAGAAACAGCATCATGAAGGCCATGGAACACCAGACAGGTCAGGGATAAAGTTGTGGAGAAGTTTAAAGCAGGGATAAGTTATGAAAAAAAATCCCAAGCTTTGAACATCTCACAGAGCATTGTTCAATCCATCATCCGAAAATGGAAAGAGTATGACACAACTGCAAACCTACCAAGTCATGGCCGTCCACCTAAACTGACAGGCCAGGCAAGGAGAGCATTAATCAGGGAAGCAGCCAAGAATGCCCATGGTAACTCTGGAGGAGCTGCAGAGATCCACAGCTCAGGGGGGGAGAATCTGTTCACAGGATAACTATTAGTCATGCACTGCACAAATCTGGCCTTTATGGAAGAGTGGCAAGAAGAAAGCCATTGCTCAAAGAAAGCCATAAGAAGTCCTGCAAAGAAGCCATGTAAGAAACACAGCAAACATGTGGAAGAAGGTGCAGATGAGACCAAAATGTATCTTTTTGGCATAAAGCAAAACGCTATGTGTTTAGTGGAAAACTAACATTGCACATCACCCTGAACACACCATCCCCACTGTGAAACATGGTGGTGGCAGCATCATATTGTGGGGATGCTTTTCTTCAGCAGGGACAGGGAAGCTGGTCAGAGTTAATGGGAATATGGATGGAGCTCAATACAGGGCAATCTTAGAAGAAAACCTGCTAGAGTTTGCAAAAGACTTGAGACTGGGGTGGAGGTTTACCTTCCAGCAGGACAACAACCCTAAACATCCAGCCAGAGCTACAATGGAATGGTTTAGATCAAAGCATATTCATGTGTTAGAATGGCCCAGTCAAAGTCCATACCTAAATCCAATTGAGAATCTGTGGCAAGACTTTGAAAATTGCTGTCCATAGATGATTTCCATCCAATCTCACAGAGCTTGAGCTATTTTGCAAAGAAGAATGGGCAAAAATGTCCCTCTCTAGATGTGCAAAGCTGTTAGAGACATCCCCAAAAAGACTTGCAGCTGGAATTGCAGCAAAAAGGTGGTCCTACAAAGTATTGACTCCGGAGGGCTGAATACAAATGCATGCCACACTTTAACATATTTATTTGTAAAAAAAAAATTGAAAACCATTTATCATTTTCCTTCCACTTCACAATTATGTGTCAATTTGTGTTGGTCTATTACATAAAATCCCAATAAAATACGTTTACGTTTTTGGTTGTAACATGACAAAATGTGGAAAATTTTATTTGTAAATTGCATTAGTTCTTCAAAATGCCTTTTTAATATAATATAAGCAAATTACTGTTGACCTGAAAGTTGAGCTTGGATTTTTCCTAATTGCGTGGTACCTATATCCCCAATTTCGGCCCGATGAATGTATACAATTAAGATACAATGATGAATTATTGGTGTCCCTTTGGGACTTTTGACTAAACAAAAATATGGTAATGAGGTTTACGTAGAACATTAAGTCTTTAAGAATTGTCCAACATTTCTCATTAATTGGTGGTTATTACTTTCAGTCTGTAACTCCCATTGCTTGTCAATTGGATGTTTTCTGTCTATTTAGAAGATGTGTTTATTGATGTCCAAGCAGCCCAAGTACAGTCCTTATTTTTGTTTTTTAGGTTTATTGGACGGCCAGGGGATTATGTGTACATTTTTGGCTCATTCAGAATGGAAGAGGTATGTATATCTCTGGGGACTGGAAAAGAACTTAGTGGAAAATGGCGTCAGCTGTGCAGTTTATACTATGTTTATAGTATGCTGGTAGCTGGAGTGGAATAGGTTTGGGAGGTGAGTGAAGCTGTCTTGGTAAAGGGATGTCAGCTGAATACTGCTCTGCTGACAATAAAGCAGAAGATGCTTAGTGGTGTGAAAGTCAGTGAATTCCTGTTCTCTGTTTTCTGCAGTGCGCCCCTGGTGGCTGTTTAATGGAACTGTGCATCCAGCTAAGTATTATCATGCTTGGGAAACAGCTGATTCAGAACAATCTCTTCGAGATAGGAATCCCGTGAGTCTTACATCTCTATTAATTATTCAAGTTAGAAAGCACACACTGTATTTTTTGACATGTCCTTAACATACATTTATTGACTTGCTAGGAAGATGAAGAAGCTGATCAGATACCTGAAATCAAGACGACAGATATACAAGGACCATGAGGAGCATGCCAAGAGGAAACAGCGTTATGAGCTGGACTATAATCTGGAACCTTTTGCAGGACTCACCCCGGAGTACATGGAAATGAGTATGTCCAATACTGCTCAGGAGGTTTACCTTCTTAGGATGAGCTACACATAAATAATGGGTTCTAAATGGAACAGTGAGCAGGATTGGGGTTTTAATCTGAGCTATTGCCACTAATTTATACAAATATTTGTGGTTATTCAAATTTAAAGCAGAAGTCCAGTAATCTTAAACCTACTCCCACCCCCATTCTAAGTCCTTTACTAACTAGCTTGAAGAGGAAATATGTGTATACTTGCCTATTCTGTGGGCGTTCTGGTCCAGTCATACTAACCGTTCCCAACGCGACTTCAGGGGAGACGAGAGACCGGAGACAGTGAATGCCCCATAGTAAGCCTTTGGGTGATGTCATTGCCCAAGCATAGCAACCATTGTTGGTGATCTCTCCTCTCCCCTGAAGCTGGCTGCTGGGGAGATCATGTGACTGAACCAGAGCACCCAGGGAATAGGTAAATATACACATCTTTCCTCAACAGGCTAGTTGGTATAGGACTTAGAATGGGGGTGGGAACAGGTTTACAATTTTCGACCAGACTTCTACTTTTAGGACTGCTGCCAAATCCTTATGCGTATAAGAAGATACACCCAGCTATTTATCAGAAACTATTGGTTGGAATTTTTTCTGAAGCTGGCTGTGCGGGGTGTATGGTTCCTTTTGGCTTGCTGAGTTGTGGATGGTCTCCATACTGTACCTCCAGGCTCTGCTTCTGTTGTGCAATGACAGTAGTTCAGGTTTGCTGCAGTGCATAGTCTGGCACTTGTAATATTCTAAGAGTAAAACTCTGTGCCTTGATATAACTTCAGCATACTTGTTAAAAGTCTACCCAATTTCTGAGAAAAAGACACCAGGCCTGAAGAGGGATCTGAGAAAATGGCAGCAATGGCTATTGCAAAACCATTCTCACTGTTGAGTTATCCATAAGGTAACATAAATGATTGGACTGAAATTTCAACAACTATAATTTGTTTCACAATAACCTAAGCAGCGAGGCAAAGACAGGGACCATGCCATGTTGTTATCAGAGTCACTGCAAGATACATGAAGCCAACATGGATTCAACCCCCATAGTTTTTGGACTTTACTTTGAATGTTTTATCTGATACTTTATAACGTGTGGTGCTGTATTTTTTCTTTACAAATGTATTCTGTTCTTTTTTTACCTGTTATTTATGTAAATGTTTCTGCTGCAGTTATCCAGTTTGGATTTGTCACTCTGTTTGTTGCCTCCTTCCCATTGGCTCCTCTGTTTGCCTTACTAAACAACATAATTGAAATCCGTCTGGATGCCAAGAAATTCATTACTGAACTTAGGAGGCCTGTGGCAGTCAGAGCAAAGGATATAGGTAAGAATCAAAGGGCTTTATTTAACAGGATTGTACAAAGTGCATCCATCCAGTGTATGTGTGTGTGTGTGTGTCTGTGTGTGTACAGTATATATAATCCCTACAAGGCACCAAGCTGATTCAAGTATAACCTGTAAAATGACAGTTGGGATTCAGAATTCCTGTTTGGTGACTTTGAGAAAATAATAATTTTGAACTCTTCGTGGTATAGATTCAACAAGGTGTTGGAAACATTCCTCCGAGATTTTGGTCCATGTTGACATGATAGTCCATGATGCAAATCTCCCGCTCCACCACATTCCAAAGGTGCTCTTTTGAATTGAGATCTGGTAACTGCGGAGGCCATTGGAGTACAGGGAACTCATTGTCATGTTTAAGAAACCAGTTTGAGAGGATTTGAGCTTTGACATGGTGCATTATCCTGCTGGAAGTACCCAACAAAAGATGGGAACACTGTAGTCTGAGGTGATGTAAAGTTGGATGAGAAGGGACACTATAAACCCAGACTGCAACAAGCAACCATAAATCTACGTCCCAGTTCTAAAACCTGCCTGTGACTAAACCTAAAACCATGCTATGGCCTGGGCATGTGCTGCATGTATTCTGAACCTGATTCAAGTGTACAAACTATTAACATCCGAGTATCGCATCAAGTATTGGCAAAATATTTAAATTAGACACATAACAAAATAATAAGGTTCAACAGGACACTCCTAAATATCTTAAAAATTGAGAAATGATTTTCGGGAAAATGCCTTCTTGACAAACTGTTGGCAATGAATGCCTCACCCAGTGAGTTAACTGCTGTGTATATTAACCTTTGCAAGCCGCTCAAAATGTAAACAAAAAAATGTATATGCATAATGTACTGTTACATTTCATTCAGACACTTGGAGCCCATTCGTACCAGTGTAATAGCAGTAATGCATGTTATACATGCGTTAGCACGCAGTGGTTCAGTTCATTGTAAACCGCATCCCTACACACCTTAAAACGCATGTGCACCACAATGTACAGTATTCCATGCATTGCTTTGTTGTAGGCTGCCCCCTATCTGCATTGTGGTGCTTTGTAGCCCATTTAATTTGAATAGGCTGTTTAAAAAACACCACAACACATTGCAGCATATTGCGTGTGACCTACTGTACTAATTTTGTTTATTTTTGTCTGTGTAGCCATGGAAGATTTCCCAAATTTCCCACTGTTTCAATGTCACATTGAAATTGGTGACTGTAAATTAGGCGTAATCTCCCTATTTAAATCCTAGATAACAGTAAAAACCCCAAATGGATTATAATCCTTCCCTATGCAAGCTATGCACTTTTTTTTTTTTTCAATAGTGAAGTGAAGGTGGCCACAACATTTGGGCAAGATAACAAAACAAAGATAGCCATATTCTTTTTGGATGGAACTCTGTCTAATGATACGCAGTAAGCATTACATGGTGTATGGATAGTGGCTGGTTGACTATTTAGCAGTTGGTGGGAAAGTTATCAGCTGATAAAATTTAGAAATATAGTTTAGGTGGGAGGTGAAAGAATGGTTAGAGGGTTACTAGTTAGTAAGTGGAAATGAATGAGGTAAATGTCTAGCTCCTTCATTCATGCACTACAGACTTCATCAGACTCTTAGGCATGTCATACTTCCTGGTGTTTCGGATGTCTGTGTCACCCTCTGCATGCTGTTGTTCCATCCTGCTGCCCCTACATCACAACAGGGTGCAGTAATGTTGTTGGAGTCAGAGCACAGAGTGAAAACAGCAAAGACATTCAATACTTTGCGAAGTGTCAAATGGTGAAGTATTTGACAGAGGCTGCAGAGCTGGGAGATGAAAGGCACAGACAGCTGGAGAGGCAAGTACAATACCTCTATTGCTGGCAACTGCTTTGAGCTTTTTTTTGGAAGGGGCAATGCCAGTTTGGGGTTTTTAGTAAAAAAGGAAAATTGTTAGAATTGGCCTTTTCAGGTAGACAACAGTATGTCCCCTCAACAGGAAAGCATTACCCTCCAGTTGTGACACCCTGACACAGAATATGTCACTCCATCAGGAATCTACTCTATGGGGAAAGTATAGAGGGTCAAAAAATTCTCTGTTCCTCTAACACAAATGTGTTTTTTTTTACAGTTTGCCCGTTGGAGATATTTCTCCTAATTGTTTATCTCAGTGACTGGGGAACGAGAAGTGCTGGGAAGTTCCCGTAAGGGACAAAACAATAAGGCCCTTATGGCGTTTTTATCCTTTTCTCACTGTGTCCAAAATGTAAACATTTTGATTTGACTTTAATTGCAAATTAGCTGTTTGACAGCATGCACTGCTTCTCTCCTGAGGTTACTGAGAGTTGCAGTGTGCATGGGTGGCTGTTGCAAACAGGTTAGGTATCTGTACCATATTTACAGATCAGCTTTGACAACCTGAAAAATATGAAAACCATGGATAGAGTCAAAAAGATGCATAGAATCCTATACGTGACTAATCAGAAATTGGAATGCCGAAGGTCTGTGGTTGTAATAAATGTTTTTGAACTAAAATGTGTATTTTACATTGAAAATCACATACAATATAACCTGAGAAGAACCCCTGCTTTTCAAACGGTTGTGTGAGACTTCTTGACAGAAAATCTAGTCTGGCCTGCTTACAATGATAATGAAGAGAAGTATGCGTTTTCTTTTTTAAGCTTTATTCTATTCCCTGTGAGCTGCTAATACATAAAAAAGTCTTTCCAGCCCTCTGAGAAGTGCACCCTTTCTGTTAAAATCAAGGTGAATACCTGTGGGAGGGGTACAGTCTTCTCTGGATTTTTATGCTGACAATCTTGTCTGGATCCACCTCCATTAGTTCTCCTGTATTTGATGTCTGCTCTGGGCTGTCTGCTCTCCCCCTCCTCCTCCACCTCTCATACAACACACAGCTCACAGCTGTTTTTATCTGGGAACTCTACCTGTCAGAACTGCAGAATAGCAGGCAGCTACCCAGTGTACAGATAGGTGTCTGCAAGAGAATCAATCTGAACTGTGCGTTGTGTGATAGGAGGAGGGAGGAAGGGAAGAGCAGACATTCCTGAGCCTACATCAATCAAACACAGGAGAAGCAAAGGAGGTGGATCCAGACAAGATTGTCAGCATAAGAATCCAGGGAAGACTGAAGCCCCTCCCACAGGTATTTACCTTGAATTGAACAGGGTGCAGCACTAAGAGGGCTGGAAAGATTTTTATGTATTAGCAGCTCACAGGGAATAGGATAAAGCTAAAAAAAGAAAACCCATACTTCTCTTTTAAACTTTTCATCCAGCATCCGAGGAATGGATACATTTGTAAAGTCTGTTTAATAGTGTGTTCCAACTGTATCACTGAATGTTACCTTGATGCAGTTAGTGAGGCCAGCATGCAGTGTATTCAGCATGAGGAGACCAGCTGGAGATTGTAAAGGGAGGTTTATGGGATAATGTTCTCCGTCACTTCTAGCTTTGGCTGTGCCTATGACATGGAGTAAACTGCGTGAGGCACTTTTACATAACTTGCACCCTTGGCTATTAATAAAACGTAACATTATCTCGAAGGATCTCATTCTGCAAGTTAAACATTGTTTCTCAGGGACCTGCCATGTTTTCATCAGAAGTATCACACTGATCTTCAATTAACCCCTGGTGTAGAGGGCTTTGTAATAAAATACTACTCAGATGACCTGAGAGGCTTGTTTTGAAGCCTGACATGTGCTACCACTGTGTTTCTACAAGAAGTACGGATATAAAGCTTGACAGAAATGTTTCTAATTATAATTTCCCATATGAATATCTGTAATGAAGACTGTTCTGGAAGTAACTAAATGCTTGACTGTTAGAGCTATTAGACTCGAAGTTCCTTTAACCGCTTCCCGACTGCCCTATAGCAAATATACACGTGTATATATACGCGATTTTGCATTTCCAGGTAGGGGGCGCGCGTCCTACCCACACCACCAGCATTGGCTGTCAATCACTGGGTTCTGAACAGCGATTACTCGCCCGTGCCCAGTGATTGACGAGCATCTCCGACAGGGAGGAGAACTGTTTGTAAACAAAACAGTTCTCCCTTTTGGCTTGTGTACACTGCTTTGGAAGGCAAAGGGCAGTGTGATTACAGTGAAGCACTAACACAGGGCCCCATAGGAAAACACAACCTGCACACAGTTAACCCTTTCCTGCCCAGCGCCATTAGTACAGTGTTAGTGCTTTTTTTAAGCACTGATCACTGTATTGGTGTCACTGTGGATGTCAACGACACCAAGTCAGTTCCCCCCAGTGTCAGAATGCCTGCCGCAGTTCCGCTATAAGTCGCTGATCGCCGCCATTACTAGTAAAAATGAAAAAAAAAAAAAAAATGCCAGTATCTATACTGCCATTTGGTCTTCTGCAGACCCTAATCTGTGTTTGCCGTTGCCCTGTCAAAGCAGTGATTTCTTGCAGTGTCATGTATTGTGTCCCAATTTTTTTACTGGGAGCAGGTCTCCAGGCTCCAACAACTCTTATAGTATGTTCACAGTCTTTGACCATCTCTTGTATCATGTCTGCAGTCTCTGACCTGTTTTGTCTCATGCCTGCAGTCTCTGACCATCTCTTGTATCCTGTCTGCAGCCTCCGAGAAACTTGTGTATCCTGTCCCTGGTCTCCGACCACTTCTTGTATCCTGCCCATAGTATTTGACTAAATCCTTTTGCGTTGTCTCTAACACAGAATATTCAGTGATTTTATGTATGACCCTTAAGTGATGTCGAGGGCCACACTTGAGGCCCCCATATCAAGAAAACTGACCACCACTGTTATAGGGGATGTTCCCAAACATTCTTAAATTATGGTCAACTTAGTTGACATCTCCCAATTTAGCCCCACCCAGGGGCGGACTGACCATTTGGAAACTCGGGCACTGCCCGAGGGCCTGGGGTCAGTATGGGGCCCCATGAGATGCACCTGGTACCTTTTTCATAGGCTTTTTTGAGTTTGGGCAAGGACACAGGGGCCCCATGATTCCCTATTGCCCGGGGGCCCCATGAGTTGTCAGTCTGCCCCTGGCCCCACCCCTAACTGTTTTTATTAGATTAATGCATTAACATCTGCCTAATTATACTTATTCCCAGTAAAGAAAAAGATGTCCATTATGTGACCACACCCTTGTTTTATGTAAGTCCAATTGATGTCTGTCATTGTATCTGTCAATTACAGACTTAAAGCAGATCTACACAGCATCTGAGCACCAAAAACCAAAATACTATTAATTTTTATTAAATTTAAATGTAAGAGCGAAAGATTTTCTTTCAGCTGTTCCATTTTTATGTATCCATATGTAACTTGGCATCATTTAAAGTCATACTGGTACCTAACAGGACTGCTGGCAATAATTTTGAAAGTCTGGCGAAGGGAAAATGGGGACATAATTAGCACATCTATTTGGCGGTCTGTAATTGTAAAAAGGTTAAGAGCTCCTTCTATAAAGTTTTGTGCAATAATGTTAAAGCTATACACAATAAATAATGCATCACAATGCACATTTGCTATCATGTTTATGCTTTTGGGTAAGATTAAATAGTATTTTCTCTTTTCAGGTATCTGGTATAATATCCTACGAGGAATCGGAAAGCTTGCGGTGATAATAAATGTGAGTTATTTTATGATTTGGTAAAAAGTCACTGTGATCCTATATTTTCATATGTTTTATTCTCCAAGTTATGTTGCACAGTTGCCTGCAAATATGTTGGCACATAATTTGGGAGTCAAGCATAGATCTTTTCATAGGCACCAAATTTGGGAGTCAAGCATAGATCTTTTCATAGGCACCAAAGTAACTAGAATTTCCAACTCTGTATCCCTCTGCTACTTTAGTTTGATTGTGGTTGATTGCTGTTTCACATTATCTTCACTTTCTCTTCAATAAATGTTTCTATGCATGGAGTAATTCTTGGTGTAGACAGACAATGTTTTGACTTCAACTGACTTGAGATTGACTAATATCTGTTCAACCAATATCAGCCAATCTAATGGCTGAGATGGAAATTTCACACAATGGTTGTATTAGGATGTGTATAAGATGCTTGTTTAGCCACTTCTGTTGTTCCCACATGACATGGGCACAGTTGCTTAATGCCTTTGTCAGAATTCCAGATTTGCATGCGTATTGCCTTCTTTATGAGTATGAGCCTTCAGTAGTGACCAAGAGTATTTCTTCTTCCAATTTTCCATTGTATACTGGGAAAATATATGTTAATTATTGGCTACTATGAGGAACACTTTCCTTTCAGATCTTTTTACATGTGATCCTTCATGTCAGGCTTATTCAAATAGAACAAAATACTTATCGGTCATGTTTTTATAAATTTAATTAATGAGGTGAGTAGATTAAGAGTGTAACTGCTAGAGGTTTCAATTAATGCTTTTATTTGTATAAATATTAAAATAAACTCTTTACTTTTTGGACACTGAGTGGTATCTGAAGACAGAAATGGGGAGGTCACAAATCTCTATCCTGCAAGGGTCTCTTCTTTCTCTAGACCTTCATAAATATCCTAATATCGCTTTCATGTGTTCCCATATAACAGATACACTTTCAAAGCCAACACACCATCTGTGCTGTTACATTCTTCCTCCTGAAATACTGCTTCAGGTCCTGTTTGCTATCTTACTGCTACATCGTAACAGTTTTTAGAGTGCACCTGCCACTTGTGTGGAGGCAGCCATTTTGTTAGGGAAGTCATTTTTTTTTATATAAAATAAGGGAAATATGTAATGCTTTGTTTTTATATTGGTTTAGGGATGTACTATTAATAGCCTGAATATCAATATTTAGTTATGCTGACTACTCTGATTCTACTTTGAGAACTGAGTTTGGTGGACCATCTGTGTCGCTAGAATCACCAGACAGGATCATTGTGGGAGAACAGCAGAGAAATGGCAGGCAACCACGCACAGTACCAAGATGAGGCAGAAGTATAGTCTGACAAGCAAGTAGTTGGGGCATGTAGCAGACAGAAGCATGGTCAGACAGGTTAGGGATCAAGGTAGGTGTCGGACAGTAATATAATCCAAAGTACAGGCCAAGATCAAAACCCAGAAAGTAAATACAAATGGAGTAGTCAAGGCAGACACAGCCAAACTGAACCTTTTTTTATCAGGCACCTATTTAGTTTCCTAAATAGTTAAAGGCTCAGTTCCCACATTTGTCCTTGTTGCAGCAGCCAAGGAATATAATGAAACTGCCCCTAGGTCTCAAAACTGGATAAGGCCTGAGCTGTGATCTTTACTGTCTCTAGAAATGGCTTCTAGACCTCTCTCAGCCATCGGTCAGGTCAAAGATTTTTTTTTTGGTGACTGGAATGGTTTTCTCCAGGATCTCTAAATAAACAAATTTAAATAAAGGTTTGCCAGTTATGTTGTGACTATACATCTAACCATCAGTGATTTTAACACATCTCATGTTTATTACTGCTCAGGCCTTTGTGATATCATTTACCTCTGACTTCATTCCACGCCTCGTGTACCTGTATATGTACAGTCCAGATGGCACCATGCATGGCTTTCTCAACAACACTCTTGCCTATTTTAATGTCAGTGACTTTAAACCTGGCACCGCGCCCAACATTGAGCAGGAGCTGGATTACTCAGTGGAAATATGCAGGTAGAGACTGAGTTTTACATAGGAGCTTCCTTCCGAAACTGGCTGCTAGTCTTGTAAATAAAGTAAATCTTGGTATATAATTTTTTTTTTCTCTCTCCAGATACAAAGATTACAGGGAGACTCCCTGGTCTGAGGACAAATATGATATTACAAAGGAATTCTGGGCTGTTCTGGCTGCAAGATTGGCATTTGTTATTGTTTTCCAGGTATCTGCCGTTGAGAGAGTTTTTATGCTCATGAATGGATTTTACTTTAATGTCTTCTGGATAGCTATCGTTTATAATAACTATGTTACCTATTGTTTTATGTTCAAACAAAATTTTATATATAAAGTTTAGGCTTAGTTCTCAAAGATATAATGACCATATTTTTTGGCAATGAGGTCTGAAGTTAACATTCTCATTGCTGAAAATATAGTAAACAACACATTCATTATAGTTTATTGGATTGAACTTACTCTCTTCCTTTTTGAATGGGGTAAAATGCATGGTGTGCCATTGGCAAGGTAAGTAGCATATTTGCCTACTGACTAACTAAAAACCAAGAATAACAGACATAATATTAAAGCAGAACTCCATCTGTGTACAGTAAAAGTACCCACCCCATGAAGCCCAAGGTTGTTTTGTTTTTTTTTAAATTAAAACAAACTGTACTTCCTCTTGTCTGCAGTCTTTTTGCTGGTCTTATGCCATGGTTCCTTCTTTGTCAGTGGGGCAGGCAGATATTCGTCCTCTACTGAGTGGCACTCACATAATGACCTGTGCGTGCTTCTCAGTCCTAGAGAGTACTGTGAAACAAGGCTGCATGATACACCACCTGAGGATGTGCCACTGAGAGGCTGGGCTCATAACTGGGCAGAATGATGCGACTGTTCTACCTGAAGAGGACTCAAGGTGCTAGACTGGGGACAATGCTGGTACATGAACAGGATAAGTAACGTTTAGGTATGTATGTATGTATGTATGTATATATATATATATATATATACATATATATACATACACACACATACATACACACACACACAGTATATACATACTTATGTCTCTGTATGATGCTATATTAAATATAAAAAACATTTAGTAGATTGCGAAGGATTGGTGTTCAACTGCAAGCATGAATATTTATACATTTTTGGAGAGATAGATATATATATATATTATGTGGGGTTAGCTCAGGTGGGGGATCTCCTTCCCTGGGACAAAGGTAGACCGCACAGCAGGCTTTCATCAAAATCTGACTGGTTGTCAGCTTTATTTAAAAGGTTTGCAGAAAATAAACAAAACATGAAAATAAACCCTTGCCATCCAGGCACTAACTAAACAAAAGACATTTCCTCTCTCAGACGTGAAGGGCTTCTCCCTGTCACCGAAATAAAACAAAAGCAAACCTTTTCTTGTAGGTATAGCACACACACAGCTCTCACTCTCCTTGCTCCAGCCCTGCCCTTATTTATACCACCTGTTGG